TCCAATGGGGCATCTGTTTGTTGAAATATTTCAATTGGTATGCCATCAATTCCCAGAGCCTTGTTCTTCGCCAGTTCTTTCATTGCAGCTTTGACTTCTTCCCTTCTGCATTAAGTATCTACAATGTATCCTCCTTCTCTGCGTCCCATTACATTATCCACAGGAGGGTCTCCCTAACACTTATTAACAATGCCATTCACTTTCAAAAAATCTTTTTATTACACAACATTCAGGATTATTTACTTTTGATTTGCAAGACCACATAAAGAGCATGGCAGTAAAACAGAAAGTGAAAAGACAAAACCCTATGTAGGCGAGAATAAATAACACGGGTTAACTTAAAATTAACTGTAAGTTTCCCAGCAGTCAAGGCATCAAAGGACTCATTAGTTATCATTTGACAGTGATTGTGCTGTGCATGTATATATGTTATGTTTTGGTTTGTTTGCTTTTCTCTTTTACTTTTTACTCACCAACTCTTGGTGATGATTAAGGCTTATTTTAGGAATTATTCTTTGTAATGCATAGCACAGTGTCTAGTTGAGCATATGGTAAGAGTTTAATAAATGAATTGATTGATGGCAATTTCTGAGCTCTGGTGGCGTAGTGCCTAAGGCATTTGACTGCTAACCAGGAGGCTGGTGATTCAAATCAGCCAGCCACTCCTCGGAAGGAAGACTGGGCAACCTACTTCCGTAGAGATACCGCCTCAGAAACCTAAGGAGGGGTTGCTATGAGTTGGATCTGACTCGACGGCAGTGGCTGAGTAGAGTAAGAAACTAAGAATGAAAATGTGAGCATAAGGGGAAGACTTAGAAATCCAGATAGAGAAGGACATGTCTGAGGTTGTGATGACTTTAACCAGAGGAAACTTAAGAAGACAATCATTATCTTAATATTTTGGGGTAAATATCTATAAAAATATTTTATAATATGGAGCAGTATTATTTAGTGAGATAAGAAACCAATGTTATTGCAACTAAATTGCAAACTTGATGTCAAGATCACTAGTGAGATAGACGATGACACTCCACTCCTTGAGATATAAATACATGGCACACATGGCTTCCACATTTTCGTCCCCCCTCTAAGTAACTGTTCTATGGGACTGAAAGAATACTGTGCGGATACACTATGTTGTTTCGAGTTTATATCACAATTTCATTTCTTCTCCATCTAGAGTTAATTATTTAAACTTGTCACAGGGACTTTAAAAAAAAAAATCAGAGAGTTCTGTAGTCTGGTGCTGTCCCAGAGACGTTTCTGCAGTGACGGACATGCCCTGTGTCTCCACTGTCCAGAGCAGCTGCCACCAGCCACATGTGGCTAGCGAGTGCTTGAAATGTGCCCATATGACTGATTTTTTAGTTTAATTTCACATTAATTATTCAAATTGAAATAGAGTGGCTAATGACTACATTATGGGACACAACTTTGGCAGAGCTGTTTTGTTTTTTGTAGAGCAAAAACAGATTTTTCATTACTTGGTAAATTGGGTACTTTTAAGAGTGCATTGATCAAGTCCATTTTAAAAACTACTATGCATTAATGGTGAAGCTTTGAGTGTCTACTCTTTAAGAAGGCTACGTTGTCAAAAGTTTGCCAGGTGGTACAAACAGTTTGCACTGGACAAGTTATCTAAAGGTGGGCTGTTTGAATCTACCTAGGGGTGCCACAGAAGAAAGGCCTGGCAATCTGCTTCCATAAAGATGACAGTTAAAAAAACACGATGGAGCAGTTCTGCTCTCTAACACAGGGATCTCCATAAGTCAGAATCGACCTGATGACAAGGGGTTTTATTGTGAAAACGAAAATGATCTACAGTCATGGAAACAAGGAGAAACATACCTGTTTCTATCATATTTTGTGCCTGGATCCAAAGACAACAAATAATAAAATAGGTGTCTTTATAATGGGTAGGCTCTGTTTCCTTTGCCCTGCTGCCATGTTGGGGCTTTGGGGCCATAATTCCCATTTGCAGCCACCCTGCCTTGGGAGCTTTGGTGGTGTAGGGCCTAAGGCATTTGACCGTTAACTAGAAGGCTGGCAGTTCAAACCCACCAGCCACTCCTGGGAAGGAAGATTGGGTAATGTACTTCTGTAGAGATACCACCTCGGAAACCAAGGAGGGGTCACCATGCATCAACTGGATTCGTTGGCAGTGAGTTTGGTTTTGGTTTGTTTTTTTTTGCCTTGGTCTAAGGAGCTCTGGTGGCTTGTGTCTAAGGCATTTGACTGCTAACCAGAAGGCTGGCGGTTCAAACCCACCAGCCACTCCTCAGATGGAAGGTTGGGCAATCTACTTCTGTAGTGATACCGCCTCGGAAACCCAAGGAGGGGTCTCTATGAGTCGGATCCAACTCCATGGCAATGGTTGCATTGTTGCATTTAAGGAGCTCTGGTGGTGTAGTGCCTAAGGTGTCTGACTGCTAACTAGAAGGTTGGCGGTTCAAACCCACCAGCCACTCTGTGGAAGGAAGACTGGGGAATCTACTTCTGTAAAGATTTACCATCTCAGAAACCCAGTGGGGGCTCACTGTGGGTCAGAATTGATTTGATGGCAGTAAGTCTGGTTTGGTTTTCTGCCTTGGTCTGGCTCTGCAGGATATTCTTTGACGTCTTCTCTAGATGGGGTATCTAAGTGGACCTGCCCAATTCTACTGAGGGTGGATTTCTGTTTTACAGTCTTGTTTTGCTCACAGTTCTTTGGGCAAGTGGGTGGGGTTTGTGTCCTCTAGGCCACCAGGAGCTTGCTTCTAATTTCTTTAATTTGAGGATCCCCACACTTGCTCTTTGAAATGCTTTTTGTAAACTGCTATTTCCTCTAAGCCTGTTAGGCTTTTTTTCCATCTTCGTTGAAGTCTCTTTTCCAGTGGGGCTTTTCTTTCTCAGCTTAGTCATGCTTTGTTGGGAGACCCAGATCCACACTGCTGGGCCCTCTGACTCATCCCGGGAGGTTGGGTTGCTCCAGGGAATCCCACTCACAGTGCAACGGAACAACAGGGAGGAACCAATGAAGGGAGTCCTTTCTGAAATCTGCCAGTTTTCCTGGCAACTCTACTTCTTGTCTAAGGCTAACTGAGGAGGAAAAAACACCCTTCCACCTTTAACATAATGTTTTCATAAATAGTTTTAGCAATTCTAATTTCCAGTTTATAAGATACTTTTGTCATTACTGCTGCTGCTTTTAAATGTTCCATAATCAGACTAGTAGAAAAACCTGTTCATGCTCCAATTTTCTTTTTCCTCCACCAGCAAGCCAAGAGAGTCAATTCTGACAGTTGCATTTTCCTTCCAGTTACAGATTAAACTGTTTAGAAATATATTATTCATAAATGTGAGCAGGCTGTGAACTCTAGCTCCTCCTATCCACAGACAGGAGGTGGGGTGGGTAGAAATCGCTCCATTTCTGACCCCCTGGGCTGCTCTGGGGCTGTGCAGAACTGTGTCTTCACACTCCTGGGAGGCCAGGCCTTCCCTTGGCCCTCGCCATCCCTCAAAGAAAGCCCTCTGCCAAAGATGGCTCAGGCCCATGATTTCTCAATCCAGATGGATCCAGACAATAAATTCTTCAGACTAGATTTTCTAAAAAGGGTCAAAGTTGAATACCATAGTAATAAAAAAAACTGACCACTGAACCAGCTATAAGTTTGCCAGTAACCCATTCACCTAATCTATATTTAGTCTTACTAAGCACATGTTGACAGTACAAGAAGGAACCTCAACTTCAGTATCCCATTAGTTCAGGGCAGGTTGATCTAGGCTGCCACTAAAGTAGCATCTTTCCATAGCTAACTAGAGGTGTCTACAGGAGAAAAGAAGAGGTACGCATTATTTTTGTTTTTGCAAAGTTGCTTAGCTGTGCACAGGTGCCATGTTTTCCTAGTTGAATTGTCCTTCCCTCAATTATGATTATATATATGTTTGTTGTTGTTGTTGTTGTTGTTGTTGTTATGTGCCGTCGAGTTGGACCCAACTCATAGTGACCCCTCCTTGAGTTTCTGAGACAGTATCACTACAGAAGTAGATTGCCTCATCTTCCTTCTGCAGAGCAGCTGGTGGATTTGAACTACTCACCTTCTGTTTAGCAGGTAAATGTCTTACGAACTGCGCCTGCCACCAGAACTCCGTATATATATATGGAATTCAGTGCCATTAAGTGGATTCTGACTCATAGCAATCCCCATTGGATTTCCAAGGCTGTAAATCTTTATGGAAGTAGAGTCCCTCATCTTCCTCTCGCAGAGCAGTTGGTCGGTTTGAACTACTGACCTGGTTGGCAGTCAAATGCCTTAACCACTATACCACCAGAGTTCCTTATATACACAATATATAAGGAGCTCTGGTGGTGTAGTACTTATGTATGTGTATTTATGTTACTCAGTGTCTTTAGTCCTAAACATTTCCGTCTGCTTCATTATTTTTAAGAAAATCACTTCAGGATATTTGAATTTAGCAGGCTTCGGCATTCAGGCTGTCACCCTCAGCACAATACTTTACATACTCATCTTACTGCCTGAATTCCACGTTCAATGGGGCATCACCCTTCACTAGATTTCACGACACTTCGACCTGTGAATCAAGACATCTCCTTCAGTGCAACCATCTGATCTTCTCAAGAGCATGAGCCTGTCTGCTGCCGAGATCATGAGGCTCAATTACCAGGAGAAAAGAGCGTTATATGGACTACAAAACTCAAGTGAACTAAATTCCAGCTGAACCAACCAGGGGGAGGGGGGATGTGCCATCTCGACATTTCTGACGACCTCAGGAGCTGCCACACAGGCAGGACGCACAGGCTGCTCGCCAGAGGAGGGCTGTCCCGGCCCGGACGGCGGCCCCTCGGGGACGTGCCCTCCCCTCTGGCGGTCTCTGCTTACCTTGACCACGTCGTCGTTGAGATGCTTGGGGTCGCGATTGACCAGGTCGATCTCCTTGGTGTGCGCGTCGTACACTTGCTTCTCGTTCATCTCTTCTGCCATGGCCTTGTTGTTGGGCCTGTAGATGTTGCCCTGTTCCCGTATGGGAAGGGTATAGAGATGTCCCTGCGAAGGGCGGACGGCCAGGCGGCAGAGGATGGCACCGGCAGCGGTAAGAGAATTGAACAAAGACAAACAAGCGATCAGAAGTCAGCCTGGCGCGGGGAAAAACGTCGAGGCTTGAAATGGAACTAACCGCGTCGGCGGCAGCAGCTCCGCGCACAGGCGACTCCTTCGCGCCGCAAGCTTTTTAAGAGGATCCGGGCAAGGACACCACACCCCTCGGTACCAGGCAGGGAGCTCCTGCCTCCCCCGCCCGCCGCCAGGGGTCAGGGCGAGCCCCGCGGCCGGGTCTGTCCTGGTTCCCGCCCCGCGCGCGCCCTGAGCGCGGTACGCCGCGGGGACCCCCAGCCCGGGAGGTGCCCTCAGATCTCTGACTTCTCTCCCGTCCCTCTCTCTGCCATGCCACCCTCGCCCCGAGTGCTTCACCTGCTCCAATTCCCTCCCTCACTCCCCATTCTCCCTCTCCCCGTAAAGTCTCTCAGCTTCATCCATATGGTCCATCCTGAACCCCCTACCCCAAGAGTCTCCCAGTTCGTCGCCTCCTGACGGCTCGCACCTGCCGGCGGACCTCACACTACCTCTGCCCATTGTTGTCCTCCCCTCCAAGGATCCCCCCTACAGGTTACAGTCCCGCCTTTCCTGGTCTCTGGGCCAAGCCACGTGCCGAAGCCCCCTAGACTTCCCCTCGGAGCATCTCACACTGCACTCCTCCCTGACCCACCCTCAGGTCACTCCAGGACTGCCAGCGGGTGGCTGAACCGCGGCTGCGTTTGGGAAAACAAGTTCTCCACACCTAAGAGGGTCCCGACCGAGGGGAGTAGTTGCAAGTGGTGGGGCTAGTGGCGAGGGCGGCGGGCCGCCCCTCTTTGAACACCCCTGCCAGGCGCCGAGAAGCTGAAAGTGTTCTTGAGGTGGCCCTAGAGCTTTGGGAAGTGCAAACACGGCCCGCGGTCCAGGGGCCTGGCAGGGGTTCTGGGGGGGACTGTACCCAGGCCTGTGGATAAACGACCCACCCTCGCGCTCCAGCTCCCCGCCTCGCCGCAGGTAAGGGCCGTCCCGCGGGGGTCCAGCCACAAGGAAGCGTCCCAGACGCATGCAGAAAATGCTTTTTCGGGCCGGCAGACCCAATCCCAGGAGCCTGACCCTCTCTTCCGCGTTGCCCCAGTTCAGGGACCCGCTGATCCCTTCCCCTCCCCATAAGAAAACATTCCTGGCTCCTCTTCACCTCCCCCGCCCAAGTCCATTCCATAGCAGTGTCAACGCGCGAGAAGTGTCCCAAAGTCGAGAGAGGGCTGGGGCTGGAAAAGCAGCCGGAATATGTGGAGTGGCAGATGGCAGGCGCAGACACTCCACGCGCGCCCCGCGCCGGGTGCCCAGGACCTCAGCCTACCTCGGAGTCTACGTATTTGCCCCCAGACATGCTGGTCAGTGGCTGGAAGAAGGCTCTCAGGAGGCTTCCCCTGGGCTGTGATTTAAAGGAACTGAGGAAGGAAGATCTTGTATTGTATAGGGAAAAAAAAAAGGCACCGGCCGGGGGCGGTGGCTGGGAGCGCGCCTCTTGGCGGCGCGCCAGGGGCTTGTTCAGCTCGCGGTTGGCCTGGACGTGCGCCGCGCCGGGTCCAGGCACATCCCAAGGTTCGGGCAGCAGAGGGCGGGGAGCGCCCGCCGGGAGCCGAGAGCAAGTGGGAGAGCGTTGCGTCCGCGCTGGGGGGCTCTCGGGCAGATGTTTTAAACCCGGGCAACGTTTTCCCAGCTATGACCGGCGTCCCGAGGAAAGCGAATGCTTTTGCAGTGTATCATCCCGGCAGGGGTGGGAATGCAGGAAGCCGAAGGGCCTGCAGAAATGCCCAGTATGGGCAACCGAGCTGTCGGAAGGAATTCTCCTGTTCCCAGCCGTTTCTCCTCATCTACCACGTTTCATCGCTGCCTAAGAAACGGTCTCCCCGAGGATGAAGAATGCTTCAGAAGCTTTCGGTGTATTTCACATCCAAACACGAGGAAGGAATCTGTGTGGGTGCGAGGGCGGGTGCTGAGCCTTGCTTACATCCAGTCTGTGTGGATAGAAACAAAGTTGGATAAAACGGCATGTACATTTTACCGCTTGCCACTTGCTCTGAAATGTTTCTCAATTTGAAATAAATTTAAATGTTTCACGTTTCTCTAATTTTACTACTGATGTTTTCTGGAACAAAGAATGTTCATGCCAACAGGTTATGGCCACGTTTGCAAAACAGATAAAATAGTTAATTGTAGAGATGTTTAATTAAAGCTTAAAGTGTATTACCAGAAAGAAAGAAAAAAAGTGTCTGGTTGTGAGTTAAGGGAAATTTGGGGTCGCTATGAGTCAGTCGGATCCGACTTGAGGGCAGTGAATTTGGTTTTTCTTTCTTTCTTTTTTTTTTTTTTTTGAGTAATTGACTAGAGATATTTTTTAAATGATAAATTATCACTCAACTCACTGCCATGGAATCGGATCCAACTCATAGCGACCCCTCCTTGGGTTTCCGAGGTGGTATCACTACGGAAGTAGATTGCCCAACCTTCCTTCCGAGGAGTGGATGGGAGCTTTGAACTGTCAGCCTTCTGGTTAGCAGTCAAATGCCTTAGGCACTAAATATTTTATCTGTGTCTGGATTGAGACTTCTCTCTTTAGCTTATTATATGCAGCACAAGATGAATTAAACTACTCAATTATTTTACTTTTTGGCTATATAATCAGACAGGAAATTTACTATCCACAAATGGAAAGAACTAAGTTTTCATATGTAACTAAAAGTCAATTACACACACACACATACACACACATATATTAATTATAACTCAAAGTAAAAAAAATAGTGAGAATACACCTGAAAGGGTGCAGGGCAATTAAAAATATTGGCAATCTAGAAAGGGGAATATTGGAAGGGGCAAAAGGAAGAGGAAAAGGGTAGACAAAAGTATAAAATGAAAATAGAATAGATTATCTTGGCAGAGAGAAAAAGATATAAACTTATTAAAAGGAAACCATAAAGACCAGGCTATTGATGGTAGCAAAAAAGACAATACAATTTTTGATAATAAAGATCAGTTTCAACCAGGAATGCCAGGGAAAGTGTCACAAATGTTGGTGTGACTTTCAGTATACTGGCTATTCATCACTAGAAGACTAAAGATCTTTTTAAATTTGGGTTTTCTTCCTTTTATTTATGCCAAATCATTTTTCTAAATTCTTCGAACAAATTGTGTGTTAACCCACATGATAGGCTAGAAGAGGATGGTGCCAGGTTTCATGTGTTGTGGAATGCCTAGTTCCTCTAATGATTGCTAAAATATTACTGTTGGTTGAACTGTTCCTTCATAAATGTTTGCTGCAGAACAGTTGGGGTTATGTTCTATGGAAAAATGTTGAAAGTGTTTGCCATCTATTGTTATTCAGCCTTCAGCTGTGATGAGTAATCTTGACAGTGGAAAAAAAAAAAAAATCCACAGAAACAGGGAGAGAGCTTGTCCCGCATTCCAGCAAGGACAGGACTTTCTGGGGAGGCCTGTGAGTGAATGCTTAACCAATTCTCCAGTGAAGGAAAGCCAGGCCTGCTGGGGAAGTCCATGCAGGAGGCAAATAAACAGCAGCAATCGTGATGATCAGTGAAGCGGTGTCAGTGCCCAAATGAATTCCTAATGAGAGGAAAAACCACAAACCCTTTATTAACCTGCCTCAGCAAGAAGCTGGCACCAAAGAGAAACAGATCTTATTCTGGTTATAATAGCAAACTTTGAATAAGAGCTCCAACTTTATGAGCAAGAAAAGATGAAGAACATTGTAGCACAGGAACAGCAATGCAATGAATATAGGATGCAAAAAATAAGAATATTGATTCTTTAATAGTCATAGTTAACTATAAGCTTGGGGGCAAGTTAATAGCTTTCTCCAAATCATTTACTAAGAATTGAGTAGATGGTAACTCATTTCGCACTATTTTATTTTATTTTTTTAAAGAAGGAGCATTTAGGTGAGCTCAGTGGCAGTGGGTTTTCCGTTTAAGGAGTATAGCAATAAATTTGACTATGTTTAAGTAATATAATCAGGACCTACTTGGGACAAAATTGTGAAGGGAAGTGAGTTGTTTTTTGTGTTCTCTCCACTCCTTCCCTGGGCCCCCTTTTCCCATGCAGGACTCCTCTTCCCATCCTTACCACAATGGTTCCTTTTCTTACTTTCAGCTAAACCAGCCAATTGTAATGGAGTTGAATCCTACTCATGGTACACACAGCGTTTTCAATGGCAGATATTTTTAAAAGTAGATCACCAGGCCTTCCTTCCAAGGCACCTCTCTGGGTGGACAAAAATGTCTTACCTTTTGGTTAGCAACTGAGTGTCATTACTGTATGCACCAGTAGGTTTCATCTCATTCCCACTCTAGGATTAGGTGATAAGGAGTCCAAGGTTTCACCACTTACAGTGATCTTAGTAGTTTTAAGAAACAGGTTTCTTTACAACACTTCCCAACATCCGGAGGCCTGAGGCTTCCCAAATGGATTTTTGTCAATTAGTTCAGGAACAGGATTACAACCTGGTTTATAATAGTGGTCATCAGCTAGAATGATGTAGAATACATTTAATAATCATCATGGCAGAACTGCCGACCAGTCATTCCAGACTTGGGTCACAGCACTGTAGCTGAGCCTTGGAGTCCTGCTGACTAGCCATTAGCCCTTCCTTTAGTTGCAGGATCAGGGGAAGGCAGAGTGGTGGTGGGAGCTGGGGTGGGAGGGGCGGGGCTCAGGAGAAGGGCTAGAGAGGAGGGGGTGCATTTGGAAGCAGTGACAATTTACATGGAGACACATAAATATCAGTTTTTTATAACCCATGTGTTCAGATGAATATTCACTGTCACCATCACCACCCCACACACCTTCCCCCATTCTTCACTCCACCCCCTATTCCAGTGAAGCCTTCTTACCATACCTGCCCATTTTATGGTGAGAAAAACTGGTTTTCTTGCCACACCCTTTAACCCTTTCTGTCCTTATTCAAGGGATCCCTCTTGGTATAGTGGTTTAACACTTGGCTGCTAACCAACAGGTGGGTGGTTGGAATGCACCATCTGCTTCTCAGAAGGATGTGGCAGTCTGCTAAGGTAAAGATTGTTGTTGTTGTTGTTATGTGCCTCGAGTCGCCCCAACTCATAGCGACCCCTCCTTGGGTTTCCGAGGCAGTATCACTATGGAAGTAGGATTGCACAACCTTCCTTCCGAGGAGTGGCTGGTGGGTTTGAACCGCCAGCCGTCTGATTAGCAGGCAAGCGCCTTAGCCACTATGCTACCAGAGCTCCCAAGGTAAAGATTACTACCTTGGAAACCCTGTGCGTCCTATAGAGTTGCTAAGTGTGTAATCAACATGAAGGCAATGGGTTTTTGGTTATTCTTATTCAGGCTTGAAGGTCCCTTAGCATTTTCTTTGGTTTGAATCTTTCCCACTTTGAGTATTTTAAATGATTTTTTCCTGTTTCTTTTCTTAAAAGACATATGAACAGTTATTTCTACTTTTAACATTTTTTTTCTGATTAAGACAGCTGCATATTCTTTCCAAACCGTTTCTTTAAATTTGCTTCAATTTCCTTATTTGAAGATGGAAAAAAAATAACTGACATCTATCCAATAAATTAGGGAGCTATGGTGGTGTAGTGCCTAAGGCATTTGATTACTAACCAGACGACTGGTGGTTCAAACCCAGCCACTCCTCAGAAAGAAGGTTGGCCAATCTACTTCTGTAGTGATACTGTGGAAACCCAAGGAGGGGTTGCTATGAGTCAGATCTGACTCATAGCAGTGCATTGTTTTTTTTTTTTAATCCAATAAATTGATTCTGACTCATAGCAACCCCTTTGGGTTTCCAAGGTGGTAATGTTGTGGACCTTAAAAAAGATGATGCATTTAAAACACAAAGGCTACAGCCTAAATCACAATAGATTCTAGAAAGGGAGCATTTCAGCCCACAAATTCATTAATGTACTTTAAAGTGTTTGCAAATGGAATTAATATACTTTTCTTTAAAATATTATTATAAAATAGTTTAACCATCCAAGATATAGCAAATGCTATAATGAAACCTCACCATCAAGCTTGATCAAATATTTTCATTTTGCCTTTTTGCTTCAAATTTTTTAAAGTGTTGCTGTTGAGTTGCCTCCGACTCAGAGCGACTCCATGTGGGTCAGAGCAGAACTGTGCTCTGTAGGATTTTCAATGGCTGATTCTTTGGAAGCTGATTAGCAGGCCTTTCTTCCAAGGTACCTCTGGGTGGATTCAAACCTCCAACCTTTCATTTAGCAGCTGAGTGTGTCCGTGGAAGGAAGACTGGGCAATCTACTTCTGTAAAGATTAACAGCCTCGGAAACCCAGTGGGGGTCTCTATGAGTTGGAAATGACTCCATGGCAGTGAGTTTCTTTCTTTTTTTTTTTTCTTTTTTTTGGTGTTAGCCATTTGTTCTACCCAGGGACTCAGTAAATCATTATAGATACTATCAAAGTCCTTTGTGATATGTAACTTTCTTTTTTCTATAAAGCAGCTTTCCTGGTGCAGTGGTTAAGGCATTTGGCAGCTAATCAGAAGGTCAGCAGTTCAAACTCACCATGGACAGTGGGGCAATCTACTTCCATAAAGATTTACAGCCTCAAAAATCCAACGGGGATGGCTATGTTATAGA